CGTCCTGCTCGTGGAGCTGGGGGCTCTCGGGGGGCGTGGGGGGCGGCGGGGCGCCCCCGGGCCTCGGCGCCTCTTCCTCCATGTTGACAGCGTGCTCGGCGTTCTCCACGATCTCCTGCAGCAGCTTCCGCTTCTGGTACTCGGGGCCTGTGGAGAGAGGGGCTGGGTGTGAGGAGCTGCCCCGGGGGCCGGAGGGACAGCAAGCCGCGCCACCATCACGCCTTTGACAGCTGTGCCCCCAGCCACGACGCGTTTGGGGATGACCGCGAGGGGGTCCGGGCTGGAGGCTGGGACAGGAGGTGCTCCCAAAGCAGAGGCTGCTTCCAGGAGGGATTTCCTCCAGGAGCAGCCGGAGGCTCTGAGCCCCACCGCGTGCTGGCTGGCTGGCTGGGAGGAGCCGAAGGAGCAGGCAGGGAGCTCCAGATGAGGGTAAAGAACCAGGGAAAATCTGCAGCTCAGCTTTCTGCGGTCACACAGATAGGTTATCCTGGGGCTAAAGAGAATCCAGCTCCCATCCAAGTTTGGGGTTTTTTTTTAATGGCTGGGAAGCTCTTCCATGTGGCTTCTTTGGTGTCTAATAGCGTGGTAACTTCACAACTGATACGGGGGATGCCCAGTCTCCTTGGGAAGAGTAGGTATTCCCAAATTACCTACCTGTCGTCCCTCACAATGAGAAAAACACGTTTCTCATGCACCAAGCAGGGCTGACAGTTTCACAGCTCTCCTTTCTGCACTGAGCCCCGCAACAGCAGCGAAATTACCTGGCAGCGTCACACAAGGTGACTCGGGGCTTCAGCTTTCATTCTGGCCTCATCTCCCATGCCGACTTGTCAGCTCTTAGCAACATTGCTCTCGCTTCAATTATTCACCTATCATTAAATCTTTACTTCTTGTTAACCCTAGGCCGTGTCTGCAAAGCAAATTGCAGCCCAGCTACAGTCTGGGGAAGTCAGCCAGAGCCTGACACCAAAGATATCCATTGTGCTGGGTGGCTGGCTGAGCAAAATCCACCACTGAACAACTGGGAATATCTTTTGGAAAAACAACCCTGCACAGTGCTCTGCATGCTGGGACCTGCGCTGGGACAGGGGTCCCTGCACATCACCACAATGCTCATAGCAAGTGAGAACAAGAAAAGCGCGCTCCTTATGGGCAGCACGAGGTCGCAAAGCAGCTTGTTTGAAAGCAAAGCACCTGCTTTTGAAAGTGGCTTTGGCCTCATTCTGCTGCATCCAAGTGATGCTGAAGGGTGCAGATGTACAGGGCTTGCTCTATGCTCCTGAATGGCACGGACTCTGGAGCCGTGCCATCCCTGGCTGCCTCGCAGTGCCTCCCCTCATCTCCTCCACTCCAAAGACTGATACAGACTTGAGCCTGGTCGGGAAACTGGGATTGGTGCTCCCTTCCCTCTAATAAATCAGTGGTGTGATTTGCACACTGCTACCTCCTGCCCACGCAGGCAATGCCTCCGTTTGGAGTGGGCAGTAGGGAGTAAAAGGGCACTGATTTTAGCTGCTCTGCCCTGCCTGCACGCTCCTGTCAATCAGCAGGCGACCCATTCAGGGCCATTTATTTCTGGCTGCAAGTGGATTATTTGGAAGCCGTTTCAACAGTTGTTCAGACTCCTCAAAATAGGCTGCCTGCAGCTCCAGGCTCCTTGCTCTCTCCTGCTGCTTTCTCCTCCTGAATAATTCACACCAAAAAAAATCCCAACTGCCTGGAGGGCACTGCACAGCTCCAGTCCTCCTCACCTCCCCACCGTCACCTCCCAGCATGACATTTCAGCAAGGGAGGGCTTTGGCTTACATACCTCTCCTCTAAGCTACTCAGGTTGATATCCTAAAGGAAACCCAGGGCTCAATACTTATTAGAGATACGGGGCTTGCTGAGTAGGATTGCCCTGTGCCAGACGTAGCAGGTTCTATCTGCCAGGGTAGCAGGGGGAAACACAGCTGCCGAACACTGCCAGGCTCTCCTGGCTGTGTGACCAGCAGCTCCGAGTCCTAGCAAAATCCAAGGGTGGACTTTTGTCTGTTTGTTCTTTGATGGTGCAGCTGTGCAAGAAGAGACATTTCCCCTTGTTGTGCACTTAGGGAATTCAGAGGTTTAAAAGAATCATAGAAATAAAAAGTGCATCAGCAGCTTACAAGGCCATCGAGAGAGGCCAGGACCCAAGCGAAGCCCTATATAAAAGCAGCGAGAGGATTCAGCTCCTGAGGAGCCAGTAGTGGAGGCCAGGCTGCTTCAGGCATTTTGCAGGGACTGTTTCAATTGTCTCATTCAATTGCCATGGGTGGAAAAAATAATCTAGCTAGATGTCAAAAACCTCCCATCAGGAATTCCAGTTTCCTTTGCCTCTGTGCTATAAATACCCCAGTGTGCAAAGGGTGAATGTGGAGCTGTGAGTGGCAGCTGGGGGGCTTATGTCAGGATCAAGTGATGTTTAGCTATTGTTAAATGAAGTGCCACACGCTGGCTCACACCCATGCCTGGGTGCTGTGGTGTTTCCCCACTCAAAGCCAGCTCTGACGGGCCTTGCTGGGTGGTGGGGAGGAACAGGCAGCCCTCCAGCATGGCATCTGCCCAGCTAGTAGGTGCAGGGCAAGGTGGGAGTACAGGGAATTTAGGCAAATCTGTCAGCATGACTCCCCGGCCAAGCACCGGGTGTGAGCCATACCCATTTCCCACTGTGTGCCCTGTGCCGGGGTGTAGTACCGGAGACCCAGAGGCACTGAAAGCAGAGCAGGAGCAGGTGGCAGGTTTTGCTGAGCATGAGTCATCCTTTGGCTTCTACCCCCAGTTTTGCCGCTCTGATGGTCCCTTGGGATCCTGCCTCAGCAGCCACAGGGCACTTGTTCTAGGTAACAAAGCTGGTAATAAGAAAGACAGGATAAAAATGTAGGCACTGAAATCCTTGTCTTCTGCTCTGTTACTACCTTCCCTCTCTCGAAAGGAAAGCTTTCCAGGAAGAACATATCTCCAGCTAACTCAGTCTAGGGAAAGGTAATGGCATTCACAATGGTGCTTCTAATATTACACTTCCGATCTACTAATCCTCAGTGCTTGGTCTCACAGAAGGAACCTCCCAAGTGTTTTCCCAGCCACATAATCAGCAGTGATGCTAACAAATAAATAGGGAATCAGGGAAGTAGTATTTTGCATTAGCAACTTTCTTATAGGATATTACAGCCTCTAAGTAACCAAGTCTGATTGTACCCTGGTGCAGTGTGGGGCCCCACAAGATATGGGCTTGTGAGTCAATGTGCAAAGCTGTTCCAAGAAAAAGCCACGAGGAATATATCTACAGGAGTGCTCCAAATAAACTTGAGCTTGCTGCCTGCCCTGCCTGGCACTGGGAGGGCTTCAGCACATGGAGAAACATGAGGAGAAGTTGAGGGACTGTGGGTTATTCCTCCAGGGTATGGTAACATATTCCAGCAGGTAGAACAGTAGTGTAAGGAGGACAGCAAATCATCAAGAGCATGGGGCTAGCTGAACTCGTGCGAATGAGGATTTAGGATAGACAGGAGGGCAGCTTGTGGAGTTATAAAGCGGGTGAAGCATTTGAACAGATTCCCCAAGGAAACTGCAAAATCCCTCTTAGAAGATGCCTCTGGTCCTACCTGGCTGATAGAAGTCCGGGGAGAGCTCCCTGGCCATCATTCTGGCTATGCCCGATTCATTGTTAGCTGCCTGAGCTGCCTGCTCTGACCCTTCAGCCTTGGCTTTGGCATGAGCCGTCCTGCGGAGAGAAGAGGGGAGAGAAGAGGGGACAACAGTGAGCACCGTCTGAGCCAAGACTGTCCCAGCTTGAGCAGCGGACCCTGCAACAAAATCAAATCAGCCCATCTGGCATAACAGCACTCAGCACTTGCCCACCTGACCCCAAACCCCCACACTTGAGGAGAAAAGACCAGATTTTCAACAAGTGTGTGGCACAGCTGCTTAAGGCTAAGGTGTGAAAGTTGCAAGTAGTCACACAAGGGAACAGGGCAGGTGTATTTGCAAACGTGAGCATGTTCATATGTTGCAGCGAGGCATCAGGTGCTGTAAAATGGGCTTGCTGCCGTGCTGCGAAGTACTGAAAACCTAGCTCAGAGGAATGCCTAAAGCACCACCACAGGCATCTCTGGAGCATAAGGGGACAATAACGTGATGGCTGAACACCACTGTGCTCTCACCAGCCCTGAGCTGCTGCACCTTGCCAGAGGCAGTGTGCTCCTGCCCAGCACACCAGACACGTTTTACCCCAAATGTCTTTCCAGCAAACAATGCACATTGTCCAAGGGGCTTCTTTACTCACCGCAGCCTGGGGGGCCGCTCTCTTTTCCAGTGCTAGGAAAGGCAGAGCTATTGCCTCCCTCTCAGCTTGGCTCCCCGAGTCCTCTCCACTCCTTCACAGCACATTGCCTCCTTGCTCCAAAGGGCTATAGGGCTATCAGTTATTTTGCTGGCCGGCTGTCATATTCCTCGCATGCCTCATCCTCGGGGCCCTGTGATCTTTACGCTAAAAGAAGGGCTGGCTTTACAGCCCAGCTGCTTGTGGTCTGGGAAGGAGCTGACTTCAAACAGCAAAATTGCACCTTAAAATAAGGGAGGGTGAAGCATAGTATATTCAGCTGCTTTGTTCCACCTGGGGCTTACAGAGAACTGCTTTCCTCATGCTCTCGCTATCATGTTTGCCGAGGCTCCCTGTATGTCCCTTGCAGCATGTGATGGAGCATACGCTGGCTGCACATGCAAAACGACATATTTGTGTGTGGACAGTTAGATAAGCAGTTAGCAGCCCTCAAACACCAATTCACTACGAATTACAACCTTTAATTGGTCCTAGGGTGTTTGATGAGTCCTTTTCAGACTCAGGTTGGTATCTGGTCATGTTTTAGGACAAAACATGAGGAAACATGCCGTTCTCATCCCTGCAGCAAAAATGTTCCAGAGGAATTTTTGGACTTCAGTCATGAAATCAGGATTAATTCTTTCCCATTAAACTGAGATGCAGTACGCAGACAAGACTAGCTTTAGTCTGAATAGTCGACAGGTGCAATGAAAAGGTGGATAGAAATGCTGTTCAGAGATCCTTAGAAGGTAGGAGATATATATATACACATACATAAACACACACCATTTTGAGTAGCTGCGGGGAAAGAACTAAATGTAGGGCATTAATCCCAACTGATACAGGCAACAGTGTGACTTGACGGGGAGCCGAAAATGCTGTTCAGGACCCTGCGATAGAGAAGAGGGTGCAGAGCTGCTGTGGCTCAGCCTGTCTCTCCCTGGGATGACATCCCGCTCTGCTGGAGCCATGATTCACCTCCCTGCCCACACTCACACATTATCTCCCCGCTTTCTCTGCAGGCTGAGTTGCCTAGGATTGCTGTCATTCTTGGTCTTCTTCTCCAAAATTATTACAACTCCTGAAAAAACCTAGAAACAAGACACGATGAGGCAGAAAACAGCAATTTTAAGCTGCTGCTCACAAGCAGGAGGTCTGAGGCAGCTCTGAACAGAGAAAGCACCTCCTTTTTTGGTAGCATATAATCAGCGTGATTAATTCCACTATAATCTGGCAGGGGCCAAGGGGGATGTTTCTGTGCTCTCCATGCCTGGGGGATCAGAGCGCGCTGGGCGCGGGGCACACAGCCTGCCCGGCGCCAGTCCCAGGAAGAAGCTTGCAAAGTGAGGATCCAGCTCTTCACCTCAGCAGGACGTGCTCCGACCCCTGGCTTTGTCCTGCTGCTCTCAGAGGATGGGATTCACCATACAGAGATAAAATCCTCCCTTTCAGCCGCTCACTGAGCCAAGCAGAGGCTATCCCGGCCACTTTCCAGCCAGATAATCAGCCAGCTGGCCCCAGCTGGGGCAGCAGCAGGCAGCTCCTGGGAAGCAGACGGATGCTTTCCTAAAGATGATTTCCAAAAAAGTCTGGAAGTGGACTGGATGAAGGGTCTGCTCCCTCCACTAGTAAGGACAGAGCCAGACTCATGCCGATGTGTTACCAAATGGGTGCAGATGGCTCCCGCATGCTCAACTCTCCCCCAGCATCTGGGGCAAATGCGAGGGAACAGCCTGGGGGTGGTGGAGGTGACAAGGCAACTCCCAGTTACGCTCTTGTCCTGCTGGAGATTACCTTTCCTCCAGAGAAGCTGCTGGATGCTATCTGGCTGCTGTGTGAGGCTTGAGTACTGCAATTCCTGCGGGTAAAATGGCGAGGCCAGGAAGACCCCAACCTGGGTTGCAGAGGCTGCGGCGAGGATGCTGGGGGTGGTGGGGAGCTGAGCTGGCTGGGCTGGGCCATTGCTGTGAGCCACCGTGGCCCCAAGGCTACCAAGGCTCTACAGCAAGCCCTCCTGGGCACAGAGGGGCGTGAGGCCAGGGAGGCCATGGGACAGCTCCCGAGCTCCACACATAGAGCTGTGACAGCAAGCTGAGTGGCACGACTTTGGGATCCCCCCCTGCCCCGGGGATGTGAGCTGCATGGCAGCTCTGCCCGGCTGCCTCGCTCTGCAGGACACTCCCGACCTCTGCTCCTTGTCCCCCTGCTTGCAACGTCATCCAGAATGTTTGATCTGGGGGACTAAGATCAACACAGCTGCAGCTTCAAATCTGGCAGCTCCGGCACACCACGTTGGCCCTGCCGGCATCCCGGGGAGGCCGTGGCACAAGGCAGAGCACTGCTCTCCCCCAGCCACCAGCCTGGCCCCGGCAGGGATGCTGATGCCCTGCACTGGGTCCCTCCGTCACTGACATCATTTATTACAGCTGCAACGAGGTGATAAACATCTGGCTTACGGAGACACAGCGTGGTGTTTGAAGTAAATCTCCCCCGGCTGTGCCGCGCATCCCTGCGGCACGAAGGGAAGGCACTGCTGCTCGCAGCCCTCCAAAAAGCCACGCTGAGGGTTTAGTAACACAGTGACAAAGCACAGCCTAGAGGAAAGGGCCCAGCCATAATAATAACATCTAACTTGCCTGGAGTATTTCTGAATTTATTATTTGTCCACATGGCTGGCAGTGCCTGGGAGCTCAACGCAGAGAAAAACTTGGCCCCAACTGCAAAGCAGGAGACAAATCCCAGCTGCCTTGCGAGAGCCCAGCACACACAACCCACACCACAAAAGCCTCTCCCAGCCCATAGCCCAGGGTCTGCCGGGCACAGTAGTTAAAAAAAAAAAGCTCAGGCAGGTTTGAGGGAAGCAGGAAGGTGATCTTCAAGCCTTAGATATGAAACTTAATATAAGAGGAAAAACTTCTTCCAAGGTTAAGATCTGCTCAAAAAACAGAAACAGCTTTTGCAAAAAGGAAAATGCTGGCCTTTTATTATATGCATATAAATTTGATACTTTTCACGCAGCGCTTGAATCAGGGCCACACTTTTTTATTTACTGCTGGTTGTGCTGTCAGCTCCCAGTGCCTCTGTAGAAAGCAGCCCACGCAAAAACCATCAGAGGAGAAAGTCTGGAGATGGAGGGGGTCAGGGTGAAACTGAACCAGAGGCCCATGGATTTTATAGCACCCAGCAGCAGAATTCAAAAGCCCCTTTTCAAGGCAGTGCTGAAAAATGAGCCACGAACATCAAACACGACCAACTGGGGGCAATAAACACAGAGAGGGGACTTTACAAACCAACGCTGGTGCTCCCTGTCCGAAGCGAGACACTACTGTCCGGGATGAGCGCTTCCCAGTTTCACCCTGAGCCATCTCCCCAGGCAGCGCTGTTAAAAATAGCTCCAGTGAATTCTTTGCAAGGAGGAGCAGCAGCCCTGTGCCGAGCCGAGGGGAGGTATGTGGGCAATGCCTGCAGCCCCCATCCCAGCCTCGCTGCCGCTGCCTGCCGACAGCACCGGCTGGGTCACAGCGGCTGCTCTAGGGCTGCCCCGGACAGGGAAGCTTCACACCCCAGCTGGACGGGTGGGAGAGGGAGGGTTAAATGCATCTGCTGTTTTATTTGCTCCTCTGGCATGGCTCTAATACTCTAATAGTTTTTGTACTAGCGCAGGACAGAGCACCACTCCTGTCCTTCCTGGCCGTCTCCCAGAAACACTGCCTGAATCATTCCTCTGACAGCTACTAAAATCCCCTGTGGATACACGAGCCGCAGCTGAGCACCGTGCTAACAGGTGAGACCCAAAGCCAAGCCAGCATGCCCATCTCTTTGGACAGTTTATGCAGTTTTGCACATCCACATTGGATTAGACTGTAAATGAGATTGGAATTAGCAGAGAATACTGCAAATACCAGACGGGGCTGGGGCGCCTGCAGGTGCAGCGATGACCTTGGGGCTAGAAATAGAGGAAGAGCTTAGCTCTCTGCCCAAGCTATTGCACATTTGCTTATTAAGGGAAAGACAGACCTGTCCAGCACTGTCCTTCCTTCTCTGGGGTCTCCCTCCTCCCACTGATTCAGCAAACCCTGACCAAGGACCAGCTGAACACCTTTTTCTTGCCATTCTTGATGTCATGAGCTGCCAAAAAGGCCATTAAGCAAATATAATTCATCAGTCAGCTCTAGTAAGGGGGACTTCTGCTGAACTCCTCTCTCCTGGAAACTGGGTTTTCCACCCCCAGGCAAATCCCTGCTCCAGCATCCAGCAGAAATCATTCGGCCTTCTGAAGAAACTTAAGTTACAGTTTGTCTTGGCAGGAATGTTTGCAGCACTCAGAAGGGATAGAGGGAAAGCTGCAGAAACGCTTTTGCTGATGACAACATGGTCCCTTCTGGATTCACATTGCGAAGGGC